ACTAGATATGCAGTAGTCTTATACATATAAACCCGTTAAGAACTGACGGCAAGGTAATGTAATGTGTAATTGAACTGTGGACAGAGTGTTGTTGAAAACGTAGGCCATTCGTTGTGAATTATAGCGTTTGTTATAGCGCGACTGTTGAAATTAAGTGTATCGCAAAGTTGTATTCAGAAAGAATAAACCAGTTTTATTTAAGAAAGGACTTGTATCGGTAAAGTTTCTTCGGAAAGAATTTTTACGGAAAATTAATTAACGAACAGAGACGTAACTGTATTGAGTTATTCAGTGTAATCCATATCCATGCATACGGTAATAATTTTGGAAGTATTTATCTTCTTTAAATTGGTAGTTAGTTACACGTTATCTAATCAAAAACATGTTAGGTATGGAAAAATAAATGCGAACCAAAAAAAAAAAAAAAGGATTGAGCGTGCGACTTAAAGTTAAAGGAATTAAATCAATATTGGCGGCCAAACAGGTAGCTACACTTATACTATATAGTTATAGCATTGATAAAAAGTTTACAGCAACTATTCATTCAATAGTTTGCCAGGCCACGTTTTTTTTTCAACTTGGGGCATGATGGTGGGTAAATCAAAATGCAGAAAGTGGAAAATCGTTAAATCATCACTCCCATTAATAACACACACAGTGTGTTCTGCAGGTTGTTTTGGCCGCTCGACACACCAAAGAAACTATATCCTTTTGTTTTTCATTATACTGTAATTGCTCTTACTTCGTGTTACTATAGTTTAAAGAAAGGATTCTCAAACTGTGGCACGTGGAGATAATGTCGGTGGTACAAGATATAACTAATATAAAAAATCATAAAATTTGTAATAAGGCCTATCTGAGCTTTCCACGTACATATACATACTAATATCCTCACTTATAGATTCAATCTCAACTTGGATAGACTCGGCAGTATCTTATTCCCTTAAAATTGACAAAAAATGGCATCACATATTCTTCAATCGTGCAAAAATCAACAACAAAAAACAATTGCATCCTTCGCATTATTGGGTTAGTGTTAAAAATATGAATTTTTGTTTCTAGGTTTTATCTTTTCTTTAAAATTAGGCCTGGGTTTGTAATTTTATAAATATTTAACAAAAAGTGCTACGCGAGCCTGAAACTTTTGAGAACCCCTTGTTTTATAGAATGTGGATCCCTAAATAACATTAAAGCGATATAGTGAGGACTGTGAATAAATAGACAATGATGTCATGTGACCTAAAACGCATGCGCAATACTGGCTAGGTCCTTTTCGTTTCATCGTTCTTTAGCTAATTGTAACACGTGTCAAAAAAAAAGTACGGTCAACAATTAATATAACGTTTATCATTAATATAAGTGCATAATAAGAAGGTAATAAATTCCACTTGTGATTTGGGTATACATAATTTAGATGTGGCTGTGTTGTTTTAATGTATTCTATTTTGATTTTTTAAGAAATTTTGTCAAATTTTTACCGCTTCTCTTCACTGAATTATGAATATGATTAAGGCTATAAAAGTATAAGTATAAATTATTAAATAATAAGGGTAAGATTAAAAGTAAGAGCGATAGTCAGTCTGATTTTTTATCTAAACGTGGTACTAGAACTATTAATATTATGAACTACAGTAACTTGTCTAGTTAAAAGACACTGACAGTTGCCGTTGGTCATGTTTGTTGGATCACGTTATTATACTGTATAGACTATTTTCTGCTGAGATACCCGTGTCGATGTATTATTACATAGAGTTATTTTTCATTTGTATTGTAATTTTACAATACTTGTACAATAATTATTGTGCTAGTACTTCTATAGAATATATTGTAAAAATTAAAAGCTAAAGCTTCAATGTAAGTTGTAATGAAAAAAATACATAATTTAGTTCAGTTAATGTAAACAGTAGTGTGATTATGAATCTTGTCAGTATCACAAATTTGAATTCAGAATTAAGCATCAAAAACTTAACATAATGTTTTGGGACAAAAAGGGTCCTATTGGTCCATCTTGGCTGTTCCATCCTCTAAACTAAATTAAAATAATTAAAAAAAATCTTAAAGCCAGCCCTTATCATTTTTATACTTATCAGGATTTTTCTTAAACTCACTTAAATTTACTGCTTGTAAAACATCTGAAGGCAACCCATTCCAAAGGCCAACCATCCTGTTAGAAAAATGAAAATGTCTTAGCTGAAGATGACTCCTACCTTGCCAAAATTTATATTTGTGTCCCCTAGTCCTACTATTCTTACTGTTAAATATAAAAAATGATGATGCATCAACACTATCAATTCCCTTTACAATCCTATACACCTCTATCCAAGCCCCCTAACTTTTCTTTTTTCAAGAGAAAACAATTTGAGAGATTTCAGCCTCTCCTCATATGACAACCTCTCCATCCCAGGCACCATTCTAGTAACCCTTCTCAGAACCCTTTCCAACAATTCAATGTCTTTCCTAAGGTAAGGAGCCCAAGACTGAACACAATATTTCAAATGTTTCCTAACCAGTGACCTGTACAATGAAATTATAACCTCTTTAAACTTGTATTCAGTATTTCTATAGATATAACCTAAAATCCTGTTTGCCCTGCCACTAGCAACAGCATACTACTTGGATGGATTTGAGACTGATCAACTATTACACCAAGTTTCGTTTCCTTCATAACATTATTAAGGTTATTCCCATCCAAATTATACTTATAATTCAAATTATGAAAACCCACGTGCATTATCTTGCATTTATTATAATTAAAACCCATCTGCCATTTATTTGCCCGACCCAATAAATGATCTAAATTATTTTGTAAATCAGCTAGCAACACCCAAGACCTTAATGTCATCTGCAAATTTAAGTAATTTATTGATTATTCCTTCATCTAAAACTGAGCTCTGAGGTACCTCATTTGTAACATCAATCCAGTTTGACTGAACTCCATTTGTAACAACCCTCTGCTTTTTTCCATCCAGTCACTCTTCTATCCAATTTGCTAACTTATCCCCCACACCTATAGAGCTAATTTTTTTACAAGCCTTTTATGTGGCACCTTGTCAAATGCTTTCTGAAAATCCAGATACACCAAATCTACACCCGTACCCTCATCTACATAAGTAGTAACCTTATCAAAGAATGATAAAAGATTTGTAAGGCAAGATCTTCCCTTAATGAAACCATGTTGACTATTCAATAAAATTCTAAACTTTGTTAAATGACTTTGCAAAGCATCTTTTAACAGACTTTCTAAAACTTTTCCCACAACTGATGTAAGACTAATGGGTCTATAATTACTGGGACAAACTTCCAATCCTCTGGTACTTGCCTACTATTCCAGGACTGATAAAAACAGTAGCAAGTGGCTCAAATATCCAATCTTTAACCACCTTCAAAACCCTGGGAAATATTATCTGGCCCAGGATCCTTATAGTTTTTCTTAATTTTTTGACCAATGTTTTTTATCCAGCTCAGAATTAATGCAGTCATCTTGTTTGATCTCGTTTCCATTTATCAACTGTTCAAGATGTGGAATACTGCTTAAATCTTTGTTAGTAGAAACCGAAGAAAAAGCAAAATTTAATAACCCAGCCATTTCATAATTATCAGATACTATCCTTCCTTTGTCATCCATCAGTGGTCCTAACATACATATAATTAGATCTTTCTCAAATTTACATTATTTTACATACATGGTAAATTTTTAAGATTTTAGTTTTGCTAGTAGTTGAAGTAACATTCAGATTTTTTGACACAAGAAGTTGAAGAAGTCTGTACTTAGCATGTATGAGTAATGAAATGTACTGAAACAGGGTTTTTGTTGTCAAATATTTTGATAAAACCTGTAAGTAAAGTGTTGAAAAAAAACTGCTATGCATTATTTATATTAAACTTAATTGTATTTGCTTCATCTTTGTTTTATAGATCTAAAATTTACTTTTTTTTTAAGTGTCAAAAGGTAGAACATTCCTTGATAATTGTTAATTATATTTTGTTGTTTTATATTCAATATTGGACACAAACATTACTAATGGTTCAGCTTGTTAGTTGAATATAGCTGCTGGACAACTTCAGAGTCTATAAAACAGTGAGAAGACAACAGATGCTTAACCCTGTTCATTTGGGGGTTGATGAAGCAGATTGCTCTGACATATCGGGTTCTGAACTGTATGAGTGTGAATCTTCACTGATATGATCTATCACAAATCATTTTCCAATTCACTGTTATTTTCTCTTCCCTGCTCTTCAAAAGTAGAATCGCCTTCTTCTAGTTGAACTAGGATTTCATTTCTTGACAATGGCCACTTAGTCATTGTTATAGATCTATTCTGGCAAAGCTTACTTAGTCATTGTTATAGATCTATTCTGGAAGTGAGCTTTGCCAGAATAGATCTATAACAATGACTAAGTGAGCTTTGCCAGAATAGATCTATAACAATGACTAAGTAAGCTTTGCCAGAATAGATCTATAACAATGACTAAGTAAGCTTTGGAATAGATCTATAACAATGACTTGTCAAAGCTTTCAGAAATGTGAATGACCATAAGTGAACACAATGCAGGTTGCTAGTAGTATGAGTGATGGTGCAGCTTTCATCTGCGTTTATACCTACCAGTGGAAAGATGATGCAACTCTATGCCAGAATTGCATCATCTTTCCACTGGTGGCAAATGTTATGTATAACACACTCACGAAAAATGAATATCTGCCTTGGTATTGAATACATTTTTACCTAGAGCGTTCAATGTATGTATGAGAGAATATATGCAACAGCACATCCAAAGATTATGTAATAGCTTTCTGATATTATTTCATCTCTTAGAACAAAGTTTTATGTGTATATACGGGCAATTTGAAATTTGTCATAAACATATAGATATTGTTGCATACCTGCCATCAGCCTATGGGTCCAATGGACCCAGATTGTAGACTGAGGGTAAAATATTAAAGTGTAATAATCCACTTAGGCCTTGACTCAGTGTCATAGTTACAGCATAAGTGTGTGTTGAAGGTTCAAGGCACAGTCAAAACATAGTTCTGAGCATCCTGATTACGTATTGTACATTTTACCATCAACTGGTATTTGTGCTGATAGTATGTATGTAAGTATATTAGACAAAGAATAATGTGACCTTTTAATAACAGATGCATCATGGCTCCTTCTCAGTTGAAGTGAATTTTATTTTAAGTAAATAATGTGCGATTTTAGTCCATAGATGTAAGATTTATGAAATATTTTATAAAACGTAATTGTCTTTTGAATTGATAATCATTAATACACACACATTTTTGAGTAGTGTAACCTGAGTGTAGGTGTATGTACATTGTCTGTTTTTTGTTGTTACATTTCACATTATTTGAGCTGCGTGAATCCATGTACTATGGTCCTCTTAATTTATTGAGTATAAACTTGATGTCTAAATATTTAATAAAATCAGTAGATTGGTTGAAACTGAGTTTCAAGTAACACTGTCTAAGTATGTGATAAACTATTGGTAGATTGGTTGAAGCTGAGTTTCAAGTAATACTGTCTAAGTATGTGATAAACTATTGGTAGATTGGTTGAAGCTGAGTTTCAAGTAATACTGTCTAAGTATGTGATAAACTATTGGTAGATTGGTTGAGAGCCATGGAACATCAAGAAATTCGCTACTGCTCTCACTTTCTTGAGAGAAAGGGAAGGTTCTGCAAGATGAAAGCTCTTCCGGGTTTATTAGTGTGTGGAGAGCACTGCCCTCTAGAAGTTGAGGTATTGTATGTAGATGTTTCATGCCCTTTTGATGAGATATTGTATTTACATGATCATGTTAAGGCCATTTTTTAATTTGAGTAATGTATAAAATAAACTTATCTCTACATTCAGTGACTGAGTTGGTGTATAATATGTTGTAACAAACTTTACAAGGCAATTATAGCTTAGGTTTAAGCAAACAAGAACTTCAATTTAAAACAAAAAAGTTTTATTATAAAACTAATATTGAAAATGGATTCTGTATTTAGATGTTTCATTTACAAGTCTTAGTTTTATGCCAAGTGTACATAAGAACAATATTACAATATTTTGTAAAAATTGTTTGTGAAAGAAGTAACAATTTTCCAGCTTAGTATTTAATACATTAACTTTATCATCTATCGTTTTTTTATCATCTTAACTTCTGTGATGCTTGTTATTATATATTATATATTTAATACATTAACTTCTGGGATGCTTGTTAAAGCATCACAGAAGTTAATGTATTAAATAGAGTTATCTATTTAATACATTCACTTCTGTGATGATTGTTATCATCTATTTAATACATTAACATCATCGTCTATCATCTTGTCTACATCTATGGCAAGTACTGATGCAAGTTTTAGTGTGATGCTTGTTATCAATTTAAAAAATAGCAATAATAACAAATTTAAAACATGTAACCTTTACATTTTTGTATTTACGGCACATGTAAATTAATGCTAAACATGCACATATGTGTAATAGTTAGGGTATTGAAAATGTGCAGAAATATGTTTTTAATCATTTCCTGCAGGAATGCAATAAAGGAAAAAGGATCCAGTGTCCCCTCGATGGATCTCAGTGAGTTTATTAAGCTTCATTCTCATAGCTTAAAATATTTATAGAGGTTATTTGCATAAGCACATCATGAAGGGTAGAAATATCTTAAGATCTATTACTGTTTTTATGAATTTCTGAATTACCAAAAACTTGGAGTATAAAATAGTTTGAAAATTTTGAAATCTTAGTGAGAAAGTTTGATAAAGTGAACAAAACTAGTTACTTGTTACAAAATTAAAAGTAGCCTTAATTTTTCCATTTTACAGCTGTAATGTGAGCACTTAAATAAATCACATATAGTACCAGAGGGTAATACAGAAAATTAATTTGGGCATCAATAATTGAACACAAATGAGGCAAGTTTCCATACCAACCGACCCAATAATGTCGAAGCTACTTTTAAAGTAATATTTGACGTCAAGGTAATGTTTCATCACAATGAATGTGACATGTCTATCATGATTTTTTTAATTTGAGCACAGAAAATTTTGCATCCAAAAGTGATAACTTCTCCCACACTTAGCCTGTATTACCCTCTAAGTACTGACAAGTTCCATGGCTAGCATGGCAGTTTCATGTATATTAAATATAACCAAAGTTGTATTATGTAACAGTTAGACTTAATAACTCTAGAACAGTGTTTGCTATAATGTAAAAACTTCATTATTTCTCTATCATTATGTTAGATGTTTATACGGTAAAAGAAAGTTTTTAAAATTTTCACCTTCTTTCCATAACCTACATGGTACTCTGTAATTTAAAAGTAATTTTTATAATGTATGTCTGTATGGATATTTTAGAAGGTTTGTGTATTAATACTAGAATAATTCCAACTTGGGAAATAATGACTCTGTCCAACTTAATGATGTTTTTAACTTTTTACAGGTCTTTGACCTTTATCATGTGATTTTAAATTTTATCATTTGTTCTTGATCTTAGTTGTAATTATTTTGTTTTGTAAACTCTTCACATTTCAACGTAGTTGATTTATCTTGTTTGGTGCAGGTGGCATTAGTAGCTCTGTGCCAAAAACTCGAAATAAATAAAGTAAAAAATGTATAATGCTTGTTACGTTATTATTCTAGTTGCTGAGTATTTCATGATTCTATCTAATAACTGATTGTTTTTTGCAGCACATGTTTTGCCAAAAAGTTAGAAAGTCACTTGAAGAAATGCAATGCTAGGAAGAAAGAACTTCCTGTAAGTACAGAAACGTTCTTTTTATAGTAAGTGTTGCAGGTTTTAAAAATTGAATTTGTATATGATAGAATTTTAGTAATCACTGCTTATAGATAGAGTATTTTTACATATGAATTGTATAAGGTGATCTCAGTTCCAAAAGTCAGATTTGTAACTTATGGATGTGCAGTTATGCTTTCCTTAGCGACTCCATTTAAGTACAGGCAGTTTTTAGAACCACTTCCTACTAGGATAGGTTTATATATCTGGAATTATTTTCTCTTGAAAAAAAGACAAGTTAGAGAGGATCTGATTGAGGTGTTTAAGATCAGGGGAATTAATATACTTACTTCTATATATGACATGAATAAACAATTGAAAGCTCAGAATGTCCCCCTAGTGGCTTTCTCAGCCATTTCTTTCTTTTGAACCAATATTTCAAAAAGGTAGGGTGTGTTTTTAGTCTGCTCAAAATTTCATATTTGTTTAGACTAAAATACATCTT